GTCAAGCTGCCACTGGGGAGGGAGCAGGTGCGACGTCATTCCTGTTGGCAGACAGGTGTGAGCCTGAGCCAGCATCGGGATGCAGGGAAGGAAGGAGCCCGAGGGCACGAGTGAGGCGTGACCAGAAGCGAGACGAGGGATGAGCACATGACCTGGGGAAACCGACTCCCTTTGTCTTAAGGGCCTGGAACAAAACCGTCTCCGCCAGACTCGCTGGGCGGCATCGCCACCTGGTGGCCGCCACGGGCGGACGCTTTGCAAAGGAGTCAATGCCGGTCCAACAATGGTCGGCTGGCTTCCCAGCAAAACCCCAAACCCACGCTCCCGACTCGCAGTCGAGGCTGGTCCTTGGCAGAGGGCTGCCGGCTGAGCACGTCGCCCCAGCGGGAAGTGGCGCTGCCTGGACTCCAGGCCAAGGGGCACCTCGGCACGGGTTGACTGGGATCAGGTCTGGGCATGGGAGCAGGTGGGGACCTTGGGGCTAGGGTTTGGCTGAAAAGGTGGCTTTTCAAGCCTCGTGGAAGAGTCTCGTGGCAGTGTTTATCTGCGGTCATCTGAGTTCCAGGGACAAGGACAGGCCTCTGAGCTATTACTGCCTGAAGGTGACACTCCCTTCCCAAACTAATCCAGTATCTGCCTTGTCAGAGCTCAGCCAAAAAAAGCCACCGTCTGCTGCTCAGAGGAGCCGGGTGGATGGGAGGGCGTTTTAGAAGACGGCTGAGCGTCCTTGGGAGGGCTGTTCTTAGTGATGACGGTCCAGCCATTTGCCAAGGTATATACGCATTTTATTTTAAAAAGTTTACAGCTTTCACTATACACAACTATTAAGAGGTTATAGTCAGTGGAGCTATTTGTCCTGTTGACAGACTGCCCACTAGATCACAATGCAAGGAGGGGGAAGCAGGGGAGGCTGTGGGGGGCAGTAGAAAGCTTAGGCTTCAGTGAAGGGCTGGCAAATCCCTTTTCTCTCTTCAAGTGTCACGCGAAAGTTACCAATTGGTAAATCCTGGCCAGCTCTTCCCATGCCCACAGCTGAGCCAAGTGTCTGCTGGATCCAGAGGCCCAGGCCGTCCTCGGGGCAGCGGAGAACCCGCACCCTGAGGGCTGACCCCTTTCCCAAAGGGGCTCTGCTCCCTCCAGTCCGTGGTGGGATCGCAAGGATTCGAGGCCAGGGAAGGCGTGAACAGGATATCCCAAGTCCAAAGAAAGGCCATTCCCTGCACCCAACCAGATGTGATCTGATTTCATTCAGCAAGGCTATGAACCCGGTGAGGAAGTGGAAGAAATAAACCTCTTGCTAATTTGTGTCAGTGGCGTTCACTTTGCTAAACACAAAAGGGCCACGGGCCGTTTAAAATCCAACTGACTCCCTGGAACTTAGCATCTAGGGACTTGCAGGCCCATGGAGGCTCGTGGAGGCCCATGGAGGCTCGTGGGGGACTGGACTCTTGAGGGAGGCTGAATCCAGAGAAAGTGTCAGGTGAAGGCCACCTAGGGCTTCAGGGAGCCTTCGGAGGGGACGCCCCTCCTGGGAGACACTGCTCAGGAGCTTATGTCAGCCACTGGCAATCAGGACAGCTTTGGAAGTGGACGAAAAATGTTGGGTCTGAAGACACTCTGGCAGCTTCTGACCACTGTTTCACCAGTGTCGAATGCTGGCTGAAACTGCACTGTGGCCTCAAGGATGGTGACAACACTGATGACCAAAAGGCCCAAGTGCCCGGTGAGCCTGTGACCCACCAGCAGCACTGGGGGCTGCCTGGCTTGTCGGGGTCTGGAGAACTCCAAGTGTTGTGCATGCAGGGAGGGAGACGGCGAAAGCGGCTCTGACCAGCCACCGCCAGATCTAGGATGTGCAGCCTCTGCCCACAGCTCCGGACGCTCCTCTAAGCGTCAGGAAGGGACAGGCTCGGACAGCTTGGGAGGGTCTGGTGTCAAAGCACCCCCTGCACCAGACTTACTCCACCATCTATTACTTGGAAGCCAAGTTCTTAGGTTCATGGCCAGGCCTCCTTCCAGAGGCTTCGGAACGCACACGCCTGGTCTTACTTCAACCTCTCCCGGGAGCCTGGAAGGCACTTTTCAGTCTATCAAGTCAGTTTCCCAGGGGAGAGGAAAAGCCCCCCTCCCCCCTCCCCCATCGCCCAAATATGCCCGGGCCCCAGGTAGTGCCCAGAAAGGACAGACCTGCACAGAATGGGGGTGATAGTGGGATCAGGGCGGCAGTTACCAGAGCTTCCGGTGCTAACAGAGAAGTCTCATCACGTCATCACACAGACTGGGGACAGGATGGATGGATGGTCACAGCCCTGTCACATGTCATCACAGACTGGGGGGCAGGACAGGTAGACGCAGCCTTGTCACATATCACACAGGCTAGGGGGACAGGACGGAAGGATACCACCTCATCACACATGCTGAGGACAGGACAGATGGACGGACCCAGCCTTGTCACATGCCATCACACAGGTTTAGGGGACAGGATGGACGCACAGACACACACACTCTCTCTCTCTCTGCGGCCGCTCTCAGATCTGCTCACCTCCTGCAACCTCCCTCTATGGGGCTCCTGGGAGGTCTGTACCCCTGCTCAGGCCGGAGCCCATCAGAGGGAAGCTGATGGCTTGTCCTTAGGGAAACATGGCCTTCCCGAAGCCGGGCTCAGCTAGGTTTTTTGACAAGATGAAAAGTAATTCTTATCTGGACATTATTTTTTTTGAAAGGTAATTAGAACACTATTGTTTATACAATATTGAAAAAATACAATTTTTTATTGTTTGAACTCAAATCACCACCCAGCACTTGAAGCCTACCCTACATAGCACCTACAATAAACGTTACAGCACAAGCGAACTGCAAGTCAGCAGGAAGCGGGTTAGACAGTGCCAGCGACCCCGCCCCCAAGCAATGAGAAGCCGCGTGCTAGGTAAGAGTGAAAGGACACCAGTACATGTTAAGTTAATCCTACCCTCCCGACGAGCCACGGATGCTAGAGAGAGAACTCAGAACGCTTAACTAACCACAGCCCTACGTAACTGCACTTTTTTATTTTTTAAAAGAAAACCTTTTGCTTCATGCCCGTAATTAACATAAAATAAGTAAATCTTTGTCATTTTATTTAGGAAAAATAATCATGCTAAAAGCAAGTTGTACTTTATATAGATTTTCAAAGGAAAGATTGATTGTGCTTTTTGAATAAAAAAAGATAGGGTATGATCCAACCTCACTTACTTAAACCTTGTGGACTATAGCACTTCTAAACTAAAAACACACATCAGAAAGAAAAATTATCCCGGGGGATGTTCAAAAATTGTCTTTAGGAGGTTTTAGGATTGGCTAATTATGCTATCATCCTATTGGTTATGACAAAAAAAAAAAAGAAAAAGAAAAAGAAAAAGAAAAACCACCCACACAGAGCCGTATCTAAAACTTCCCCAGACCCTCCCCACACAGCAGGCGACACCCTGACATCTGGTCAGCTGAGCGGACGTGTGCTTGGAAGGCACTGTCACCTGTCCGATTCCTCTCAGCGTCCTCAGGAGAGGCAATGCCTTCCTTCAGGACCTGTCCCCCTACATGGTATTTCTGAATCCCTCCGTCCTGTTCAGTCACTCTGAAAAAAGCTGTGTTTGTTTTTCCCACAGAGTCACTTTGGGTACAAGAACCTTTATTTGTTCCACTTATTATTCATTTCAAATTTAGAACACACTGGGTCTAAAATACCCTTTTCCCACTCCCGCAAGCAGATGATGACCAGGCTGCTGCCAAGAGCAGCCGAAAACCAGAAAACAAAGCCGTACAAAACGCCAGTCCTGCAGGCAGCCTCCTCTCAGGCTCTAAGGCGTGAGCTGCCCGCCAGGAGGAGGTTGCCTCTTGGCAGGCGACAAAATCTGCAACCTGTCTAAGCACAATTCACACACACACCCCCCAAAAATCCCCCCACAACACAGCCCTCATGTTAAAGCTCTTAGTCCAGGGTGGCGGTCTCAACCTGGCCAGCACTGGCATAGGGATGGGGCTTTGCGCGTCTGGGATGAGAGGAAGCATCTCCCGGTCACTTCTCCCCACCCTGGCCTCACAAAAACAGGTCTGGATTACAAGCTGCACCCCAAGAACAACAATCAGGCTAGAAAACACTTCCCCAGGGCTCTCCACAGAACTCTGAGCTGAGGCTGGGGAGTGTGACGGGCAGGAAGAGGCATATGAAAACGAACCCAGAATCCCGTCTAAGAATCGCTTTAGGTGGCCACGCTCCAGTCAGCTCCCTGTCTTACACTGTCACTCCACAGAAACGGGGCCACCTAGGCCACACAGGAAGGAGCGCCGGTTCTGGTGTGGCTGCCTCTAACACGCCCTGCCAGGCCTCTGCTCCCCGATTTTCTCCCTCCATTTTGAAAAAGCACTATTCTGCCTTCACATCCAGGAGCTGGCCGGCCTGGTTCGTTTCTTTGGGACCATCAATACAAGCAGCAGCCTTTTCCTCTTGTTCTTACGTCTCCCTGCCGGAGCGGCCGTTTCTTGGCGGCTCGGGAGCTGACCGGGCTACGGACCCCTGGACGCGCGCATTCGGCCCGCCTGTTGCTACCAACGGAATGTGGACGGTGCTGTGCACCTCAGGCTGGGAAATGACCGAGAATCGAGATCTAAGGGTGATATATCATATATATATCTCAATGCTATTATCCATAAAAACCTTGTTTAGTAATAAAAAAAATTGCTTTGTTTAAATATGAATATTATAGTCTGCTTCTCATGGTTAGGAAGTAAGAGTCTTTCTGAAAGCAGGAGCTGTGTCCACTACAACTCCATGTCCTGGGCCTCATCTTCCGAGAAGTCGGACATGGAGCTCTCCGACGAGCTGTCCCCGGTGCCCTCCTCCTGCTCCTTCAGTGCCTCCTCCGTGGCGTACTTCTGGATGTACTCTGCAGGGGAGAGAGACAGGCGGTGAGTGGCCAGGCCTGGGACCCGGGGCTCACCGGTGCCTTGCAGGCCAGAGTGACCAAGATGACAGCCATTGGGTCCCTAGAGGCAGGGGAGCCCCCAGGGAGACTTCTTTGGAAGCTTCTGCATTTCACCCCTGAGGAGAGGGGTGATGGGGAAGACTAAGATGGAGGGCTTGGCCTGCAGGGGCAGGAACACACTGCCCCAGCCCAGGGCACTGAGGGACGGGGACGATGGGACCCCACACTTTCTGTTCACCTTTGCTTCAAGATGGAGCAGGACTAGTCACAATTCCATAGTAATTTCCAAGGGAATCCCCTGTCATTTCTAGATTTGCAGTTATATAATTCCAGTCAGCCCGGGTCTATTATTTTAGGAAAATATTTTAGTCTCAGGAGATCCTGCCCGTCAGGTGGGAAGCAGCTGCAAAAAAGCAACGCTCAAGACATGTGGGCAAGAGCCGCTCCAGGAGCCATGGCCTGTGAGCGCTTTCACCAGGTATTCTTCACCTGCAGACAGGTGGGAGCTGCCACAGCCCTGGTTGGATGCACTGGCTTACAAAAAGTGCAGACTGCTGAAGAAACACTTCCTAGAAACTCTCAGTGCACACTGTCCTCAAGCAATCAGCTTCCACACAACAGGAAAAGACAGGCAGCTAGAAACCCATTCAGAGTGTAGGCCGGACAGAAACACATTCTCAGGCTTCGTTCTCCCCTACGGAGCTGCAGGCCCGACGGCAACTGAAAGAGAAAGGAGGAGCACGGCCAGGTGTGCCCGCCATAGGCCAACCTCTCACACAGGCTCCAGCTCAGAATGCGTTAAAGAGCATGACAGGGTCAGGCCCTGTGCAGAAATTTTCAGACCTGTGACTTAGAGTTCGTCACATTCACTGGAACAAAAGTGAACGCTGAGATAAAGAGGTTACAGAAGCCCAGGACTAGGTAGGAGCTGACTGGGATTGCATTCTGGAGTGGGAAAATGTGTCTTAAAGCCTTGAAAGTTTTATTTCCACTCTTGCGCAGGCTGTCTCGCTGCTGCACACTGACACTGTTTCCCGACACTATCATTCGATACCAGGGTATTCAAGGACACACGTGCCCAGTGAGCACTGACCAGAGAAACAAAGGACAAGGTTGCCAGAGAGGGGGAAGGAATGGAGTGGGAGGAAGGCAGGAGTGGCAGAGTGCCCAGGGAGGCAGCCCAGGAAGGAGCCAGCCAGGACCCAGGCAGTCCCCACCACTGACCCCGAGTTCTGCCACCTGAGGCCTGGGAGAGGCTGTTTCGGGGAAAGGTTTTGTCTTGCCAAGAGCAAGCAGTTGGGATGTTAAAAACATTGAGAGAGAACTATACTTGTTTTCTTTCTTCAGAAAAAACAAGTAAAGTAAATCAAGGCAAAATGTAAAGGTTTTGCTTCAGCTAGATGGTAGGTATGTGGTATTCTGTTTTCCTGTAAGTCTGAAACTTGACTGTCACACATTAATGCTTTAAGAGTAAAAGGGCAGTATGTGGTGGCTCACACCTGGAATCCCAGCACTTTGGGAGTCTGAGGCAGGAGAACCACTTGAAGCCAGGAGCTGGAGATCAGCATGGGCAATACAGTGAGATCCCACCTCTAGCAAAAATTAAAAATCAAAACTAAAAACAGAAAAACACTTCCGTGGTTCCATCTCACCCACTAAATCTAGTCCAAAATGGAATGCTTGGTCTCTTCTCTCTGAACAGGCTGTCACTTGAAGGTTTCCCTCTAGCCAAATCTCCCTTGTTCTGCTCCCCATTCAATAATAAAAATAAAAGATAAGTTTAAAAAAAGAAAATAAAAGAGGAGTAAAGGCAAATTTGTAGAGTCAACTTGGTGCCAGAGAGCCTTGGGCGGCAAGCTGAGATGCCATCCGGCAAAGGGCTCTGAGCAGGAAGGAGGCGGCAGCTTGAGCCAGTGCCTACAGCGCCCAGCTCCACAGGCTGCCCAGATGTAAACACATGTTAAATGTGCACGGTGAGGCAGCCCCAGTTAAGCATGAATGCCGATCATGTTCAGGCTAGAAGGGTGCACGCTTTCCCTGTGTTGTCGGGTACGCTGTTTGTGGTAATGTCACACGATGGACACGTCCAGGAGGCAGCTGGGGCGCTCAGGCCTGGACACACGTATCTGGAATCATCTACCTGTAGCTGGGAGAGGCGAAAAGTACCCCAAGTGGTAGGTGAGGAGGAGAGGGGGCCAAGGCTCAGGCCCCAAGAGGATGGTCACATTCAGGACCTGGGATGAGAAGAGGATTCAGAAGGGGGGGCGCAATGCCAAGCCGCAGAAAGGTTCAAGAAGGGGGGTTCGGGGAGGGCCCACAGGACCAGGAAGAAGTGAGGCTGCAGAGGCGGGAAGTGAACTAGATTCAAGAAGCTCAAGGTGAGGAGGGAATCCTGGAAATGAAAGGAAGCTACGGCACACTCAGCAGGAGCCCATGGGGCAGAGGCCTGGTCGGTCGGTGGGGCAGGAAGCCAGGATGTGCTGGGGCAGGGACAGCGGGGCCACAAGCTGCATGGGGCAGTGGGTCTGAAAAACACGGCAGGACATCTCTTACTTCCCGTAGTTGGGAACAAGGACCAGGCAACAGGCAGATAGACAAAGACACAGCAGAAGCAGGTGTGCTCGGGCCTGGGGGTCACGGTCTCCTCAGACTACCAAAGAAGGTAACGATTGCCAACATCACCGTACCCGGAAGCCATGCTGAGCAAGCCATCCTAAGATACGTGTGGGCTGGGCTCCCTTTGTGACCGGGACTACAGCAAATGTGTGCTGGAACAGGCTAGTGCTAAACTGCTGAGACATAATGAGTCTAAGAACCATACAAATGCACCCTGCACCAAGCTATCTGTGGCCTGCAGACAAGTCTCAGAACTTGTCTTGATTTTACCTGACTGAAATGAACTGCCTTTTCCTTGAAATATGTGTGACATTCTGCTACCTGATAAATTAGATATTAATTTACAAAGCACTTGAGACCTAAGTAAATTTACTTCTACTTTAGCTCAACAAATGCTCCAGACAATACCCTGCAGAGACCTGGGAAGGATGGGAAGACCAAAGCAGGGAGCACTATTGTGCGACCAAGAGCCCAGATGCTCCCTAGGCCTCATTCCCGCCATGTCAGAGTGAGGGCCTGCAGACCATGGCTCTCCTGGATGCTGTCCCCACCGTCTCCTGCAGGTGTACCTCAGAGGCACTTGTCTGAGGAAGCTGGCATTTTCAACCGCTGTGCAGATGGTAAGCTGTGCTCAAAAACCGGGGCAGACATTACCACCTGCCACTGGTCAGGGAGAGCAGGGTGCTTCACGAGCACTGAATTCCTCATCTTCCCGATGGAGCTTTATGGATCTGTACTTTTCACTATGAAGGCCATCAAACGCACATGGAGGTAGAAGGACCGTCCACCGGTGAACCCTGTGGGGCCATGGGGTTCCTTCGCAAGCTCCCCTACGGGAAGCTCGTGTTCCACCAGCACGGCAACTGCCTTAGGGGTGGGCAGACGGGAGTCAACCCCACAGGATGAGCGACGGAACCACCCCTGGCACTGGCAGCTGGAGCATTGTTTCACCCCACAGGGTCCCAAGAGGGCCTGAGTAACTGAAGGCGGACGCTTCACGACCCAACCCCGAGGGCTGGGCGCTCCCCCCTTCAGGTGGATTCTGCCCTCACCTTTAATTTTCTGTTTGTACTCTTCCGGTCGGTGGAGGTACATGGCCGCAGCGTCGCCGTTGAGAGGGTCGATGGGGTTAGGGTAGGCCAGCAGCTGGGGCAGGAAGGACTCGAAGATGTTGGTGAGATCTAGAAGACAGACAGAAGCGCGTCACGCCTGTGATGGGCAGGCTCACCTGGCACTCACCTGAATCCCGCAGGTAGAACCGCCCCCTTCTTAGACCCTGAGCTACACGGGCAGCTTTCCAGAAACACGGGCTCTGTCACAGGTAACTGCTGCTCCGCATGCATTTCCATGCCCATTGTAAAAGCTTAAAATTTTACTTTGAATTTGAAGAGTCAGATGGCTAGACCTGATATTCGCTTTGAAAGGCAATTTTTGGCTGGGCTCAGTGGCTCAGCCTGTAATCCCAGCACTTTGGGAGGCTGAGGTGAGTGGATTGCCTGAGCCTGCGGGTTCAAGACCAGCTCGGGCAACTTGGCGAGACCTCGTCTCTACAATAAATAAAAAATTAGGCCAGGCTCGGTGGTTCAACCTGTAATCCCCACGCTTTGGGAGGCTGAGGTGAGTGGATTGCCTGAGCCTGCGGGTTCGAGACCCACCTGGGCAACTTGGTGAGACCTCATCTCTACAATAAATCAAAAATTAGCCAGGCGTGGTAGGGTGTGCCTGTAATTCCGGCTACTTGGAAGGCTGAGGCGGAAGGATCGCCGAATCC